GCCTGGGGGATGAACCCAAAACTTTAAGATCCACTGTGTTAGTATACAAGGAAATGTCAGGGTTTTCTCAAACTTTTCCCATGATATTCCCATTTAGGATGGAAAAAAGTCATTGAACCTCTTAAAGATTCACCCAGACCAGTACCTGAAATGTAATCTTTGTACAGTAAATATTTCTGTTAATTAAATCAAATGAAAAGAATTTGTTTCAATTGTCTATTATTTTTATCATTATAAAGAACTATTCTATAGTTCTTATAACTATAGACTAATTTAGTTAAACTATAGACTATTTTACTTGTTCATTCTCTCTTATAGCACTCTTTTCAGTGGACATACACTATGGGATGTTATTCACCCAGAACTTGTAGGATGGTTGTGTTTTGAGTTGTGATCCCATAGGAGATATGTCATCGTTTGTCAGAAAATTGATACACTTAAGTAAAACAGTATCTTGATACCTGTGGATCAGGCCTCCCTGAGACCACCCCCAGGTTTGATGATTTGCTTGGAGGACTTACAAGACTTAGTATATAGGTCATCCTCGCAGCTGTGATTTCTTACAGCCAAAGTACACAAAGCAAAATAAGCAAAGGGAAAAGGTTCTTGGAGGGAAACCCAGGGGAAACCAGGCACAGGCTTCTGAGGATCTGTTCTTGGTGGAGTCACGTAGGACACACTCAGTTTCCCTAGCACTGAGTCGTAACAGCATGAATGAAATGGTACCAACCAGCGACTCTTGTTAGAGACTTAGTGCCCAGATGTTTTGGGGGGGGGGGGCTGATCACATAGGCATGCCCTCAAATTCCGGAATCCCAGAAATAAAGTCGGTGTTCAATATAAACCATATTGCTGTACAAATAGTGAAGGCACACATAGTGAGCCACTCTTATCACTTCTGGGGATGGTAAGAACTTCCAAGTTCCCAGTCCAGCCAAGGGCCAACTTTGCTAGTTACTAGGTTAACTCTTTTTTGTACATGCTATATATTCTTACATCACTTTCAATTCAGAGATTGGGTAATTTGTAAATGAGATTTTTTGAATGTTTTAGAAATTAGGAGCAAAATAAGTACAAAATAAATCTTAAAAAAAAATTCAGATTAATGAGAGGGTACAAACAATTATGTTACAATGTTTGCATTTGTTAGGTAAGGTCCCTGTTGTAGTTACGTCCCAGACCCAGGAGGTGTGCCACATACCCTTACATTGTGCCATTAGGTGGGAGGAGCACACCAATTCCTCCTCCTCCCTGCTTCCCTCAACTTGAATTAAACTGAGTTTTTCTCTTGTATGGGCATATATTAGTTCATCTACTGGCTTCATATTAGTATTAAAGTAAATCTTAAATGGGTTGACCAAACACTCACCAGGTATAAGGTATCAGTGGATATCACTACAAATGAAAAATAATTCAGACATTAATCCCGCTTCAAGAAGTTGATAGGCTATCAAGGAATTTTCATAAATGACTCAGCAACCAGCCAAGGACACATAAAGTTCTATGGAAAAGGGTCTCAAAAGTCTCTTGAATATAATGCTTTATGAGAAACATATTTTATGTAACAGTACAGGAAAACATAGTATATAACTACTGAAAGTAAGTACAACCCATTCTGATATTTTCTGTTCCATTTCTTTCCATCCCATTTCATTCATAAAACATGCTGGTTGAGACCCTTCAAATTTATTTTTATGACTCATTAATGCAGTGGTTCTCAACCTGTGGGTCACGACCTCTTTGGGGGTCGAACGACCCTTTCACAAGGGTCGCCTAAGACCATCCTGCATATCAGATATTTACATTATGATTCATAACAGTAGCAAAATTACAGTTATGAAGTAGCAATGAAAATAATTTTATGGTTGGGGATCACCACCACATGAGGGACTGTATTAAAGGGTCGCAGCATTAGAAAGGTTGAGAACCACTGTATTAGTAGGTTTTGACCCACAGTTTGAAAAACATTGCTGTGAGACAGTTCATATATGGGGAACATCCTACTTAAAGTTTATAAGATTAGTCATATAGGACCTGATCAATAAGTACCCAAAGCCTAGAGTCCTGCTATCAGAGTTCTTTTATTTCCTTCCCATTTCTACCACTAAAAAACATAGACCAATGAGGAAGAAGGAGAAGAGATTACAATTTCAGCCCTCTTTGCCTTGGTCAAAACTCAATCTATCTAATGCCTCCAGTGCATAAGGCTGAGGAGGGTGAACTCGTGTTACTTTGGTAGCATTAAAAAAAAAAAAAAAAGCATAAGAAAAATGTACATAATAAATGGAACCTGATCAAAATAAAAAGCTTCTGCACAACCAAGGACACAATCAAAAGAGCAAATAGACAACCCACTGAATGAGAAAAAAAATTGTGTGCTATATATATCTGATAAAGGACTGAGAACCAGAATCTATGAAGAACTCAAGCAAATCAGCAAAAAACAACCAAACAACCCCATTAAAAAGTGGGCAAAAGACATGAGCAGAAACTTGGGTTTTTTTATTTATAATTTTTTTTTTCATTTTTCTAATGAGTTCTTATTAGTAGTTAAGTCATGATTCAGAATCATCAGGTACCCAGGTTGCCCTCTACTACCCTGGGAGGAGGAGGACAGGGGAGGTGGGGTACAGCCCATTCAAATCTTCTCAGGAAATGTGCCTTCTGCCCAGCAGTTGTGCTGGGCTGTGAGGTAGGATATGGGTCAGAGTGGTTTGTGCACAGGCTAGTACCATTCACACACAAACAGACATCACCCGCTATTGCAGCTAGTGTTGCAGTGGTGGCTATCTAGGTAATTCTGCCGGCAGAACCTGGGGAAGCTGCTGTCAAAAGGGGCAGTCTTCTCGTTCTTGATTTTGGTCTTGCTGTCTTTCTGTCTTCTGTCTAACTCCTAAAGACACCTCCAGTGCACCTCGAGGCTCAATGTGACTCACAGCTGAGCAGAGAGTTTTAAATGAAGATATACTAATGGCCAATAAACCCATGAAAAAATGTTCAACATCTCTAATCGTTCAGGAAATGCAAATCAAAACCACAATTAGATATCACCTAACTCCAACAAGAATAGCTCATATTAATAAGTGCCAAAACAACCAATGCAGGCATGGATGCAGAGAGAAAGGAACACTTATACACTGTTGGTGGGGCTGCAAACTAATACAACCTCTATGGAAAATTGTAGAAGAGACCTCAAAGAATTTAAAGTAGACCTACCATTTGATCCTGCAGTCCCACTGCTGAGTATACATCCAAAGAAAAGAGGTCATTTTATAAAAAGGACACCTGCACTCGAATGTTAATAGCAGCACAATTCACAATCCCAAAGATGTGGAAACAATTCAAGTGCCCACCCATACATGAATGGATTAATAAAATGTGGTATATGTGTACTATGGAGTACTACTCAGCCATAAAGAAAAATGGCAATCTAGTATCTTTTATGACTGTGGATGGTACTGGAGACCATTCTTCTGAGTGAAACATCACAGGAATGGAGAAACAAACACGACCAGGTTGGAACTGATTAGTCAACACTTATGTGCACATATGGAAGTGAATCTCAATGACAATCAAACAGAGTGGAGGAGGAGGGGATGGGTGAATTTACACAGATTGGGTACACCTGTCTGGGTGGAGGACATGCTTATAACCCTGACTCAATTTGTGCAAAAAACAAAATATATAAGCAACACATGTACCCTCTGATATTCTGAAATTTAAAAAAAATCAAGTTCTCAAACAAGGAAACCTAGCTGGCGTTTGGAGAACATAACTTTTTTCTTATTATATGTATTTTTTAAGCTACCAATGTAAATCAGATTTTTATTTTATGTTTTCTGAAATTTTAAAGTAACATTTTAAAACCTTATTTTCCTGCTGTTCAAAGGACCTGGAAGTCTGGGACCATTCATGGTGTCTCATTGTACATGACAGTCAGAGCTGGTATCGTATTAGTGACAGTGCCTTGTGGACAAGCTGTCTTATACTCAGAGAACTTTATTTTGCAAAGAATTCCCTATAGAAAATAATTGCCTCAAAAGTGTGGTTCTGATCTCAGATAATCACATATAAGTTGACTTTTCCCCACCCCTACTATTCACCTGAAGGTGAAATGTTCTTAGAACTGAGTTGACAGCAGGTCCCCAGGGCTTTTGTCTGAGGGGGCCCGTGGGCCAGGGGTGGTGGTAAACCCCATGTTTTACCTCTTACCCTTGAAGTCTTCCTATGTACATGCTCTCAGCAGGGCCCTGTTAAGAAAGATTGACCTAATGGGAAGTAATGGAAGTGGCTTAGGTAACAGATTTTCACTCTCTGATGTACAGTGACTTTTTCTTTACTACCCTCCTCTCTGGAGGTCTCTCTAGGCTGGGCTATCGGCCAAATCAAGCCATCCTACTAAGGCTGGTTAAGCCACATAGTAGATACCAGATCTAGGTGAACTGGGGATTCTTTGCGTTTAGGCTTGAACGTGAATGACTTTTTTGGGTGATAAACTGGCCATCTTTTTTGTTTCTTGGCAAGATGCCACACTTGGTGCTTGGGTATAAATTTAGCAGTAAACTAGGCTAAGAGGGAGATGCAGGGTAGACCAATAGACAATTTGGAAAAGAGATTTGTTAGGAAAGCACCATAGTAGTCCAGAGAAGTGGTGGAGGGTTTCACAGAGCACATGAAACCTGATTCAAGTGATGGTATCCATTTATAGCATATATTGTATACTCTGCACTGGCTACTACGTAAGGGGCTTGATAAAATAATGAACAAGAAAACACGTGGTTTTTCCAATGATCATTCAGTATGGTGAAGGAAGACCAACGAGAGAGAAGACATGTGAGTAAGCCCCGTTAAGAAGGAAGAGGGCAAGGACGGGTAGTCATTTTCATGTTTTTACATTTTTTGCTTGACTTTCAGGCTATTTTCAACATCCTTTACTATTCAAATGCAGGAGGTATTTCAAATGCTTATTTCTGAATGGTTTTCTCTCCTTCTCTTTTTAGCCTATATAAAAGGTGGGTGGATCCTTAGGAAGGCCTGGAAGATTTACAATAAATGCTATCTGGACATCAACACCCTTCAGGAGCTGTATCAGAAGAAGCTAACGGAAGAGTCCTTGACTTCTGATGCTGCAAATGATAATCACATTGTGGCTGAAGGGGTGTCTGAGGAGTCTCTAAACAGACTGAAAGGTGCTGTGAGCTTTGGATATGGCCTTTTTCACCTTTGCATATCCATGGTGCCCCCAAACCTGCTCAAAATCATCAACCTGCTGGGTTTTCCTGGAGACCGCCTACAGGGGCTTTCTTCACTGATGTATGCAAGCGAAAGTAAGGACATGAAGGCCCCTTTAGCTACGTGAGTAGCTATATTGCAATGCTTTGGTAGATAATATAGTGTTGAAAGTAAGTAAACCACGATCAAAGAGTTTGGAGGAAACTTCAGGGAAAGTGGTAGTTGGTTGAGAGGATTCCGTGCCTTATGTGAATACAACACCGACTCTGTGTTCTGTGGGGGTTCTGACTTTAATTACAGAACAAGGCACCGGTCCTAAGTCTCATAAGTCATGTCATTTAAATGGATAAAGTCACTTTATCTTTCAACCTCAAATGGTTTATTAAGCAGTTCTTGCGACTTTGACCAGAGTCGCTGAGATTCACAATCCTGATTTTTTAACTTGGAAGACAAACTGGATAAGCTTTTTCTGTTGTTCTGAAACTTGCATTCTGATAAAGAATCCTCATGTTGGGTAACTTTGCTGGATGATTATAGGTGATCAATTATACATGGCCTGGGTGTTTTGTGCTATTCTACTAAATTGTCATGTTACGTGGTTCATTCTAAACATAACTGGCAATTATTTAAACCAAAGAGCCTGGGGAAGCTGATATAACTATCTGGAGAAAGGATTCACCCATTTCTGTATCAGTTATAAGTGATGTGATTTTTTTCTATCTGGAAAATATCTGCCATTTAGTATTTAATAACCAGATGTGCATGGTCCAACCTTATATCACTTGTCAAAATTTTCCCCCCAAATGTTGATACCATGGTGGACTTTAGTTCTAGGTCTACTCAGGTCAATATTGAGAAATTTGAATGTTAATTCTTAGTTGATAACTACTAAAAATATCATCAGTGTTTCGATATCTTTGCTGGGTGCAGTGGCTCACACCTATAATCCTAGCCCTCTGGAAGCTGAGGTGGGTGGATTGCCTGAGCTCAGGAGTTCGAGACCAGCCTGAGCAAGAATAAGACTTCATATTTAAAAACAGCCATGG